GCATCGATTTCAATTGAAAACTGCATGACAGCTTTCGAAAGAGGTGATTTGCAATTTTTAAAAGGTAAATTAGGTCTTGTAAGAAGAGTTTTTACATGATTCGCAATGATAACAGTTCAAATGTATTTTACCAAATCACGCAATAAACACATTGTTTTTTCTTGAGTAGCATGAACTGATCGTGAACTCCAATTTGACCATGTTATATCGAGGTGGAATTGATTTTGAAATAATTTTAGCTTTCAATCTAAAGACTGTGTCTATCGCAGAAAGTATTTACTTACAAACAAAGAGGTGCTAATTCCACAAATTTGACTAGCCGCTACGTATCGTGCGACTAGGTCTATTGTTTATAAATTATAATCCACGACTGGCAGGATGCGTGTCGGTCGGTACGTAATTATACCAACAATCAGACAATAGTCCTCGTCGGAAGCATTTCCGTGGTGGTCACTAATTTTGAGTGACGGTCGGGGCCGACCGGCGTGGCGAACAAAGCTTTTTCACATCTGATATTGGCATGTCAAATATGAAATCAAGCGCCGAGGTGGGAACACATAGCGCCGAGGTCCCAAGTGAAGCGCCGAGATTCACAGGTATAGCGCCGCGGACCTCGGCGCTAAAAAGCCCTGGGGAGAACCCTGTTTTTGTGTATACTCACTGGATCATTTCTCTATTTTGGTTCAAATGTTCTACCTTATTTTCATCTTCCGTATACGGATGACGTTGTATTTCTTTGTAGTCTGTAATTGAACAAAACTGATATTTTCATGTTGTTTGCCGTTTACCCACTTATTGTCAAATGCTTAATAAAACTATTTTGTTGGTGGAAAATTCAGTTTTGTTTCCAGGTTTGTGTAAAAAACTGTTGGCAGGATATGATTTACTTAACCATATGCACTCATCTTATTTACATAAATGCTTAATTGGCAAATACAGGAATTTTGTTTCATATTTAATGTCTGAAATAATGATCCTTTTAAGAAATCGATCATTTTCAAAATCCAACTAACCATTCTCTGTTACTTATTTCGTAGTAACAGTTGCCGAACATGGGAAAGCCGACAACAACAGTAGCCAGACATCCAAATATTTTTGTCAAGCAGAAGAGTTGAGTGGGTCACCATTTACGTGGCTGTTTATCCGTCCTCCATGGTCCGCCAGCGGTACTTGCTGTAAAGCAATGGTTTTTAACAATATGAAAAATCACTGCAAACAGAAGGTAAATTAATTAGAATTATTTGATTAGTTATTTAAGATAAATGTAATTTTCAGAAAATATTTTTGTGATTTGAGAAAAAGTCTTTGTTATTCATTAAACAAGAAATATACGCTACTGCTAATTTCAAAGCTCAATTGCAACGTCCTATATTGACACAAATGAATAGACCATCGTCTATTGTATTGACACAAATGAATAGACCATCGTCTATTGTATTCTTGATATCATTTTTAGCACCTCTATTGTTCACATAAAGTACAACCATAACAAGTATACAGTATTTCAATTTTTTTAAGAAGAATAATTTTTCGAGATCTATTCTTCGTCCCCCATCCATCTCCCAGACAGTGTATTCTCAAAGACGGAGCTACATCACGATCCCCCAAACGTTGCCTGGACTAATCACAAACAAGAATAGACAATGAATTTTCTCTGTTTTCCCCCACGCTGGCCAATTCTCCCCCACCCCCCCCCCCCCCACCGCTAAGTTACGAAAAAATCTTTTGCCCGTCTTTGATAATGTCGATACAGTGTGGCATTCATTTATTCTTTCATAACTTTGATTAATTTTTTTTTCCAGCAGCAGTCGTCTAGCAAATCAACAATGTATTGTATTGCTAAAATTCTAAGCTTATTTGATGTAAGTAGATATTGTTTATATATAAATGTTGTCATAGTTACTCTTACTTTCTCTTTAAAGTCCCATAATTAAATTTGGTAAACTAATTTGTTGTTTTGTTCTATTAACCCTCTTTTGTGGAAACACTCAAAACTGCATTAATTTCACAAATCAGTAGCAGAAAGTCATGGCATTTTGTGGCAGTTAAAATTTCTCTCAGCTGTCCTACAACACAAAGTGCAAAATTTAACCTGTTTATAGCATACTGTGTTCAAATTGCATTGTAGGTATATTTTAAAATGCACTGTACCGGTACTTTATTTTAGTTAAATAATTGTTTTTATAAAAACCACAATTTGGTTATTATATATTTAATTTATTTGTCATGATACGTTACATTCAGTGAAAATAAAGAAAATATTTGCATTTGACTTGATTTCAAACATCCAACTAGCCATTATTGCCCTGTGCCTACACAGACTACAAGTAATTGACTACTGAGAGGTCGACCCAACAGTTTTACTCAATTTCTCTGACTTGAACAAAGTTGTAATAAATTGTTATTTCTCTTCACAGGATGAAGTGAAACAGAAAGAAGCTGTAGAATGGTACCAAGAGGCGTCCAATCAGGGATCATCGTATGCTGCTTTAGTTGCCTGGGAAAGTTTACAAAGTCAAGACGTAAGTTTTATACTCTTATACTCCCAAAATTGTTGGTTATAGCTTATGTATGGTTACATAAAAATTGTTACTAATGAATATCTCGTACTGATAATATCAGACAAGTAAATAAAAGTATATAAAAAAATATAAATTCGGGAATATTTATTTTATTTAAATCATTGCTTACTATTTCGTTTATTGGTTGAACACAAAAATTGAGTTATTAATATTATTGAAAAATATTTTCTATTCACTATTTTAAAATTTCTTTCATTTTCTTGAATGAATCTGTTTCCCTTCATAACTCTGTTGAGAACCATGTTTAACACTGACTGATACAATAGCTTATATATCTTATTAAGTATGTGTTCTTTACTTGACCGCAGTTTTCAGATCCAGGTAGCAGTTTACACAGTATTAGGCAACTCCGGGAATGTGCAAAGTCTAATTGTATTGATGCAAAGGTATAACCTCTTATATTTCTATTCTGTTATTAGTTATCCATTGAAAATTTGTATAATACAATTAGGCGTTAATAAGCCTGCAACTGTACAGAGTTCAGTTTTGTTTATTATCAATTGATTTTCTTCACAGCTTGCCCTTTTTAAACATTACGCTAAAGGTCAGTTTGGTGGGTTGTGTAAAGAGCAGGTGTGTGAGACTGTTTTTCAGTTTGTTTTGGAGTCCAGATCCACCAACACGCATCGCATGTTTGAATTCCAGTCAGGACTTAATACAAGTATGAGGTAAGTGTAACATTTGTAGTAACTACAAATTATCATGGCAAATTTGAAGGTTTTTTTTTGTGAATTTAAAATTGCATTGGTCCTCTGACTTAACTCAATAATTGTCTTTATAGTACTGTATACATACCATGTTTTGCAGCCAACAATTTCTCACATTGTAATATTTAATTTCACAAAAGCCAAATTTTTGTGAATTTTGGTAGTCAATAAAAATTGAACAATTTTGTAGCAGTGAAACTTTGTGCTAAGACACTGTCAGCAACTTTTGCTAAATTTTGTCGCAAGATTTTGTGCTTTTATTTTTCTCTTGAATGTTTGCTATTCATTATACTAGTGTAATTACAGTGTAATCACATATATATATACAAAATTGTTGTATTTTAGGAAATCTTGCCTAAAAGAAATATGGCCTACTGTGATGTGCAGAGAATTCTGTTGAGGGGAAGGCATACATGGAATTAAATGAGTAGTCATTTGGGTGTAGATTTTGAATGTAATTGATATTCTGTCTGCATGTAGGTACATATTGGTTGATTGGTTAGTGGAAGTCACAGGTATGAAAGATTTTTCCAATCTCACCTTGCACACTGCTGTGAGGTGTATAGATAGATATTTAATGTTACAACCAACAACCAGAGCCAATTTACAATTACTAGGGATATCTGCTATGGTTATATGCTCCAGGTACGTAACTATTCCTTTCTCAGATTGTTTCATTTCTTACTTTGAATCACATCTTTGCTGATGTGCATTTATCTTCTGTCATCTCTTGTCGAATTCTACCTTTGCTGGGGAAGTTTGAGTTTTTGTTTTTTCTTTCATTCAGTTCAGGTTCTAAGTTTCATACATTTACTCAAATTGCAGGCTTTTAGAAAAAGACATTGTAACAATACGAGAAGCTGCGTGGTTGACAGATGGCACCTATTCTTATGAGGAAGTAGTAAGAATGATGGGAGAAATTGTAGCAGTCTTGCATGGTCAGATCAGGGTAAGTTAGGGTACCAGAATGGACCCTTTCATAAGTTAGCGTCCTCACCATTGTCTGCTGAGACTTAGAATGAGGATTAAAAGCTGTTTTGAAATACATACACATTGTGATGTTACTTAAGTTGAAGAACTCTGGGGTGAAAAAAAAAATGAATATTTTCAATTTATTCCTATTTGTAGTTTATAATCCTCCAAATGTGTGTGACAGATTGTGCTAGCTTTATTTCTGTTTTCACTTTTTGTTTTTGAATTTCTTCATCCATTTTTTATTTTCAGATTCCCACAGTACTAGATTACTTACATTTGTTCTGTGACTTGGCAGCTGTTGACAAACAAACGGAATGCCTAGCAATGTTTATAACAGAGATGACATTACTTCACGTTGAGTTTGGCTTGTTCACTGTGGCGAACTTGGCCGCTAGCGCTGTGTTCCTTGCTAGGGTGCTACTTCTCCAAGGTATGAGGATAATCCTTTTCATGTTAAACTAAAACAATCTAAATTCTCCTGTCATATCATTCTCTTTTCTTACATTCATTGACCATTTGTACATTTTCAGATTTCCCATGGCCAAATCATATGGTGGATTTTACATTCTTTACAGTGGATGACATCACACCTTGTGCTTTACTGTTGTTTAGAAAATGGTGAGTAGTTTATTTGTTCAGTGATCCCCTCAAGATGGGGGCATTGCAACAAGTGTTTGATACTAAGGCAGACTTTTGGGTTTAAAGCCTTGAACTTGACGGTAGGCTGCAGTTTTCAGAGCATGCTGGCTCAAAAATACTAAGACTGCTTTTTTAGTTTTTTGGTGACTGTAAAAATCATAAATACTGTGGAATACTTTATTTTCGCTGGAATTAATTTTCGCTGAAAAGGTATTTTGGGCATTTTGCTTGGAATTTATTTTCACTGATTTTTGTTGAGATTAATGTAAAATATAGGAAAAAATGTATATTCGCTGGATTTTATTTTCACGAAATCATCCCTTCAGCGAAAATAGCGAACATAAATTCCAAGCGAAAATAAAGTATTCTACAGTACTGTTCAAAATGAAAAACATTTATAGTCCTGAAGGCCATCAACTTTAGTGACAAAATATGATTATAACCTCTGTACAATTACAATAATATGGAAGCACTGTGCTCTTCTCTGAGCTGGATGAATACACTCTTACAGCAATAGAATTGGAGATCCAAGACATGAAAGAATAGATTGGTTGCTAATTTCTTTTCTTACTATTTATTTTTAGTTTTGTTGAGCCATCTTTGACAGACCATAGAGATGTCACATTGATGGCAGTGAAGCAAAGATACTCAGAGGAAAATCGTCTGGAAGTTGCTAAAATTGAGGTGAATAAATTTATCATGCGTTTATTACCCCCGGTACTTAAGATGGTTTAGTAGACGCATAAAATCTGAAAACGGAGTTAATTCACTGCTCATCACTAAGATGGTAAAGTTTGAATTCATTCGACATCTTTTGAAACTAACATTTCAATATTGTCGTTGTCTAGGTGATGGACTACACAGAGTTGTGTAACTTGCTTGGTGCACGTCCTGTAACGGAATGTGACGATTCCTTGACTACATCTACGGATCAAGAACAGTGCAAGATGGACTTCCTCTCACCAAATAAAGATAGGTAAGAAATGAAGACACATTTCTGGTTAAAGTAAACATGCATCCCACTGTTATGTGGATGGAAATGTTTTTAGTTGTATTAGCCCACTAATATGGGATAGGAATAGTGAACCCAGTTCAATGGAAGGACTAAGTTATTTGTTATTATAACATTCACTGGTATCTCAAAATATCAGGGATGTTGAATATCTGTTACTCTAGGACAGAGTGAAAATTGTTCAGATAATTGAGGTTATGTGCTGATGATACAGACATGACTGTATTAGGGCCATAGTAATGGGGCCTTGAACATTGTTCAGATAATTGAGGTTATGTGCTGATGGTACAGACATGACTGTATTAGGGCCATAGTAATGGGGCCTTGAACATTGTTCAGATAATTGAGGTTATGTGCTGATGATACAGACATGACTGTATTAGGGCCATAGTAATGGGGCCTTGAACATTGTTCAGATAATTGAGGTTATGTGCTGATGGTACAGACATGACTGTATTAGGGCCATAGTAATGGGGCCTTGAACATTGTTGCAGATACTTTGTATTATCTTTGTTGACTACAATCCTCCCTTTGTTTTGCAGGATGGACCAATCAGAGTTGAGCAAAGATCGTGACAGCATGGTTGTCACACCAATCGTAGAATTATCTGAGAGTTGCCATGAGAACAGTATATCTTGTAATGAATTGGGCAATGCTAGTTTTGACTCTGTTGGTACTGGTTATGAAGGTGATAGAGAGAGTGAAGGAGAAATGGAAGTAGAAATAGAGGATGAAGGTAGAGTTGTTCAATCCATGGATTGTTATTTATTGACTATACCGTAGACCCTAAAATACTTTTATTTTAAGGTCTATGACTATACATGTGTAAGTTATAGAATGACAGATCTATACCAGGCTTTTGAGGTCACAAGGTGCAAACAGAGAGACGTCAATACCTTGTACAGTGTTTAGTGCGCTTGTCATTCTATTACAGTCTTCTAACATGACTGCAATCTCGTGTGCGTGTCATGGGTGACGTTTGTTGCATGGCTGCAAACTCGTGTGCGTGTCATGGGTGAAGTTTGTTGCCATATCACCTCCAATACTATTATTTCCGATAATGTAGATGATATATAACCGGCACTACTTTGGCTGCATATAGGAACAATAGAATGAAGTTGATGACGCTTGCTTCACAAATTATCTTCAATCTATAGTTTGATTACAGTATAATAATTCTGCAATCTGATTGGTGGAAATACACAATCATTTTAGCATTTGTGGGAAGAAAATGAAACTGTGTAAACTGCATACTATTCATTCCATCATATGTACTGCTTAGGATGGAGCTTCATTCTATTGTTATAATTGATGACACAAATTATCTATAGATTGATTACAGTATGAGAATTCTGCAATCTGATTGGTGGAAATACACAATCATTTTAGCATTTGTAGGAAGAACATGAAACTCTAAGTAAACTGCATGATATTTACCACTTAGTCTGGAACTTTCAACTTAAACAGGTTTCACCTTGTTGTATTTATCCACCACCATATAAATTTTAATATTATTTATATTTATTTCTCTAGATTGGTCAATGGAGATCGCTGAAAATATTGAAAGACCTAAGGGTATATCAGCACGGCTATCTCAAGAGACATTCAGTGCAATAGTTTCCGTGGATACATTAAAGTACAAACATTCATCAGCTGAGACCAGTAACAGTGATACAGCATCTGCTTCGTTTTTGCGCAATGATGGCAAGTCAAAGATGAAACCACCAAGTTCTGCAAGGGCATACCGGATCAATTCTGGTGGCAAACTTTCTCCATGTAAAAATTCTGTCTTGAGGCCAGTGCAGAATGTTTATGCAGGGAGGCTCAGAGGACATAGTAAAAATGTACCACATAAAAATGTGTCCAGAAGACAGAAGTTCCATAATAACAGTATTGAAAACAGTCAGCTTCACAAACTCAGGTGATTTGTCAGAAGAGAAAACCATTTTGTATCCCATAAAGCAATCTAGCAGAATATTTTGTTAACATTATTATATGTATTTGGTTAATGTAATCATGGATTACACAGGTTTTTAATTTTAATGACACCAAATAATATGCTGTCAATGTTTTAATGTGTATAAATGTATCATTCTTATGTTTTTGTAGCTAATCTAACTTTCGTTTTTTCTGTGATATAGTTTTTTTGTGTTTATTATAACCCTGTTCACCTATTTCTAGTGAATATAATGTTAAACAGAGCCGTTTTAAAAGGATACCAGTGCATCAAATGTTTACTTTTCCACATCACTCACCGTTTTGTAGTAAGAGGGTCTATTTTTTTTAAAGAACTTTTATATTCTTTTTAAAAATATGCTTGAACCCCTTTTTTTCACTCATCTAAAAAATTAATTTGAACTAACACCTTCCCCAACCCTAGTTGGTATTTTGAATGAATTTCTAATTGGGGCATTTGATTTTTGTCATTTTGTTGACTTTTGAGGCTCAAAAAAATAATGTAATTAATTTATATAAAATATGCCTCCAATACTATTATTGCTCATTAGAATGCAAAAAAGCAATAGTATTTGAAGGTGCAATAATGCAGAGAAAAATCCTTTAATAACTACTCACTGCCAGTAGTTGGACAATTTCCTTCCATCTTCCTGATAAGTATTTGCAATAATATCTTTAGACAATCAATTTGGCATCTGCTAATAAAAACATTTTATTTTCTTCCCTCAAATTATATTTACGTATTAATTATAAATTTTGACAAATTAATGTTTTATAGATTTAATTAATGTTTTTTCCTTTGAAGATTTATCACAAATGTAACTGAAATATGCTTTTTAAATAATACTTACTAATTTGCGTGCTTTTGGTGTAGATATAAAGTTGTAGTCTACTTGATGCTTCGCAAGTATTCCACAAAACATCCATCTCAATCTTCTCATAATAGTTGTAAAATACAAATTATATATATTTTTTTTTTGAGGAATACAAATTCCTATATGGTTGGATGCAATTATAACTGAAATATTACAAATTTAATAATTTTTTTAGATGAAATTTCAAATCGGTGCTAGAGATGTGGGGGGTTTAGGAAATGTTTCTATTTTTTTTGTTTGATAATATACCCGGTACTACTGTTAACTCAGTTTTGCTGATGAAAATTGCACATTTGTACAAGTTTGTGCGTTTTATTAGTTTGAACATGTTGCACACTCAAGTGCTTTTTCAATGGATTGCAGTAATGATTAGACAAAATGAAGCTGTCAATTATTTAAAAAATTAAATCAAACTGTAAATTACTAATCAGAGTTAAAATTAATTAATTCAGGGAGTTAGAAAGACTGATAAATTTGTCAGTGGGATGGAGTACCCAATTTGTGAACAGTATTGGTCTGTTGATTTCCATTTCCAGAAATGAATGTGTCTTATGTTTGTATTATAGACAGTAACAATAGTTCTTTTCAATTATGTATTATATTATTATTAATGGAGTTCAATACATTCCATTTTGTTTATATAAATCATTGTGCCAGTCACTTTATTTTGTGCCAGTATAATATATTAAAGGTCGATGATCGTCAAGCTGCACATGAACAATATTGGTGTTGATAAACATCAATTTTCCCACAATTCAATGCACTTTCTCAACCAATCACAAGTAAGTTTTAACCTGGATACCACTTGCACTAATTACTGCCGACAACTCCTTCCAATCCCTAAAAATATTACCTACTTAATGCTTGGTAAAGTGTTTGACTGTCGCACAAACCAACAATTACAAAATCGCCATCTTTGTTTATACTCCTATTTCGCCCATGTGTGGTATTGCGACCACCACCTTTTAAGTTGGAGCTAGAAAATGAGGATTTTTAAAACAAGTTATTAATTGGGTCTTGTGAAACACTAACATCTGCAGACCTTGAAACCCAAATTCTGCTTGCTTAACCTCCAGCAGGGTACCCAGACAGTCTTGCCTCCAGCATTGAAAAAAAAGGAGCCCTTATTAATTAAATTCTACTTTGAATGAGAATATTGCAATTTTGACACTCACAAAATAATTACTGCTCGATTCACCAGCAGTTATTGCCACTGCAAGAAAGAGCGACAATTTTGCAGTACAAGACCCTGTTTTGCAAACATTACTCGAAGCCTTTCCAAAGAAAGCAATTGCAACGATGTTACAAATGACATTAGTAAAACAGTGTCTTGTACTGCAATATTGCTGTACCATTTGTGACTTGCATGGTGTAGGAGCATGCAATCCAGCCATACTGAGTACATCCAAAAATAGCCGGATGAATCACTATGCAAGTCCGTACAAATTGGTCGTCTCCATGACTACAATTCAATACTAACACACAAGTGAAGACTTGCCTGTAGGTAAATCCTGTCCATAAGACTGGTTCATTAGTCTATTTGTAGATTTTTTTAAATTTCGTCCTAATCGTTTTAGGATTTTTGCTGTGACATCAATGATGACTTCACCGTGTGAAAAACCACAAAGACTGGGTTCAAACTCTGACCTCACACAATGGCAATTTGACAGATGCGGCTCATTGAGCTATCTATTGATTGGGCTATATCATTCTAAGATTTTTTGTTTTTGATCATGAATTAATATTTTTACAGCCATTCTGAGAATTGTTCGGACAATAAGTTAGCAAGATGTCTTGCAACTTTGAAAGCACTTTTTATCCAATATAAACTCGACTGCCCCGTCTCAGTTTAGATCATTCCATTATACTAAATGAAGGTGAAGCACAGTTTTTAAAAATCATACACCTAAATGACAGTCTGAATAATTCTCTGAACCACTGTAAGTTTATTATTACACAGATCTTGAGTATAGGGTCCACCTTCCATAATTCCAAATGCACATTGTATGAGAAAGTCAACGCCAACTTGTATAGCATTCACAAGTTGCGTAACAAATGTCCATATGACATATTCCACTGGAAAATTTCATTCAAAATAATCACTAGTTGAATGCCTGTATCTGTAGATGGTTTGGGAGAATGCTTTGCGATGACAACTGCCCTTCAACAAAATTATGGTCAACATAGATTGTTTTTTCGTCTGTTAAATGTCCACGAGTTAAAAGTTACTAAATTTGTATGTTGAAGCAACAAAAACAATCTATGTTGCCTATAACTCAAACTTTGGTTAACAATTGATTAAAGTTGAGTTAGTAACTCAAATTTCATCGAGTTATAATTTGGGTGTGGTTTTGCAGAAGAGGACATGGTTTCTAAACTATAGGCGTAAGTGAAATATTTCATCATCTTATGAATAGAACAATACATTTTTACTCTTGTATATTTCAAAATGAGCAAGCTGAACCATTTGAGCTAATTACATTAAACTTTCTGCGAGAGACGTCAAATCATAATGAAACAAATTATGCTCGAAAATGACAACATTTTATATCCAATAAATAAGCAACAAGAGTAAAATATGCTCAAATAGAAATACATGTATATTTTACATTGTAGCGAGAAACCTAATAATTAATATGCTTGAAAACGAGCATATTTTATGAGACATGGCGAGAAACAAATCTCTAAATATGCATAGAGTGCAAAGTATGCTCGAAAAAAATACATGTATATTTCATGTTGTAGCAAGAAACCTGATAATTAATATGCTTGAAAACAACCATATTTTATGTTAAAAAGAGCAAAGAAAAAATGTAATACTGGTATGCAGAATAAATAAGATAAACAGTAACAGGAATCTTTCTTGAATACAGCGCATCTCCAGGAAAATAAGTTTGCAGCATTATTTTCACAACAAATTCAGTCACAGTTCATTTAATGGCAATCCTTCTCTGCTGCATCAACAATCTTTTTTCCAACATCTGTCTCATGTTTGTACTTTGCTCTGTTCTGGAACCTATCCTGGGCAGTGTGCATTACCTGTACAGCCATATCAAATGTGAACCAAGCAGCTGTTGCCAACAGGCAGAGTCCCAAAACAAATATAGCAATGAAGAACAGAATTGCAGAAAGAACCACACCACCAAAGGTGAGCAGGGTACCTACACATGGACAAAATATATTAAATGTGAATGTAACAAAGTGCATACAGTTCAATGTAGAATACCTACTTTAACAGCATTTTTATGTGTTAATTGTAATTTATTTTCACCACTTTTTGATGAGTTCTATACAAATTATAGCAACATGAAGATTTAATGTTATAATTGTTTATGATGACATCTAGGTCTGCAGATTTAGGTAGTAACAACTGGAATGTTATGTATTTATTTCCCAAGTTAAAACAGTGAAACATTAGAAAGAACTTCTGTGTGCTAAAGGTATTGGCTGCATATGAAGTAGAAATAGGGATAATATTAGGATTAGTCTGTATTAAGCTAATACAGTTCTGATCGTCAAGATGTACAATGTAAAAGCAATGTGCCCCCCCCCCCCCAGATTGAAGTTCATTATACTAACAGCATTTGACGGGACAGATATTTTGGCCTCATAATTTTCTATTCTTTCATGATATCTGTAGCCTAGTAAAATTGAATTAAATTTAAAGTCAAGTAATCTTAATGAATAGTGGATTTTATATTCACTGCAAGAACTTATGTAATACGCAAATCGAACATCTGTCGCTAAAATAGAAAATCTTGTATTCAATCTTGAAATAATAATAATAATGAAGAGTTTTTATATCGCGCTTAACCTGAATTACCTCTAATACTAATCTTTCAGTTAGGAACCTGGTACTGAGATACCCTTACTGTAACAAAATTGTTCATAATAAAATATGTACATGTACAACACATTATTAAGTCTGAAATAATTAAGAACTACTGCTGTGTTTGATGAATCCTGGTTTTTTTTTGACACAACTATGAGGCATAACACAGGAATATTTTACTAGATTATCCACTAGGGACCAAAAAATATAGTACTAATACCTTCGACAAAGACGAAACCAAGAAAACTGATAAATATTGTGGTGATTGCAAATGATACAAAGACCACAACTGGAATACTGGCCAAAGCAACAGCAACTATAACAGATAAGGCAACGATGGGATGTTCATTTCCATATTCAACAATTCTGTCAAATGTATCCTTGACATGCAGCCTCTCATCAACTCTGTCTTTCAGTTTGTTGAACCGGTCCCACACCTCTTCTGTTGAAGGGTATTTCTGGTTTGTTGTGGCTGCCATCCAGACTACCGGTAATCAAATACAAATATATATTACAAATTAGATTCCTATGCTTCACAGCCTGTTTCATACCCAATATTTAGGGCATTTCGCAGCATACAAGTTGTTTTTATCGACAGAATTCATTCATGGATCTCAAATTTCATGTACAGAGTGTCAAAAGCCAGACCTCTGCTCCCCTTTAAACAATGTTGCAATATGAAAACACACAACAGTAGTAGAAAATTAATTAATTAGTCCAAAATCAAGTGGTGTCAGTCAGTCAGGCAAGATTTTCACAAAATGTAGCAAATTAGTTTTCATAATATTAGATCATTTGATAACGCCAATAAGAAAGTCCCTCACTATGTTGCAATGTTCATAGGGGGTTTGTTATCTCCATGTTGTAATAATAACATTTATTAACTCATAATATCTTCTGGAGAAGATAAAAATGATCATACATAACAAAACAAACTAAAAAAGAAAAAAACCCACAAAACACTATTAATTCTCCCAACTCATTTAAGACACAGTCACTGTCTGGTATTAAGACTGAGCTATGTGAAGTGACATATTTTTGATGCTCATAATGTACGAATCATGTTTGCATCTGCTGTAATTGTGGTAGTTTTCGTGCCACATCATATTTGATAAAGTCCTAAAGCGATGTATACAATGCATGTAAAACCACAACAGTATTTTTTTTTTAAATTGTGCTTTTATAATTTTCATGACATTCTTATTTTTTTTTCTAATATTTTGGAGAAAACACACCCACTACTAAATTTGCTTACATATTTAGCATGGAGGTTTAGTATCAACATATTGCTTAGAAACAACGACCCAAAATATTTCGACACAATATCTAATATTTTTGCTAGATCCTGTCAGCCATACTTTTATAGTCAGGCCATGTGATACTGATAACGATTAGATAGCTTCTTCATTCTGTTCTAATCACAATTGTTTAATCTACTAGTATCTTATCGCCATTGTAGTGCAGCAAAATCGTCTCTGGGCCAACGTTTTGGTCTCCAGCTTGCCAATCTTGAGGGCATTCCAAATATAAAAAATAACTGTAGGCTGTCTGACATTTTGGTTAAAATACGGTTACTAAAAACAACTGTGGTTAAAATTATATTTTAAAATAATAAATTATCGACCTACTGTCTACTAATACTGGCACATAAACGACTTATTTTTTAATACGACTCACCAAAATAATGTGAACAACAATTCTCAACGTCTCAATTCAACACCGTCAGTGGTCTGACAGCACATATATAACGTCCCATAATGCACTGCGCAATACAAGATGGCTGCGCCCATCGGGGTAAGAGCGTGTAATCGACTTTCTCGGTGAGTTCATAACTAGCAATAAGTGTATAGACGATTACGTGACTAGCTCTGTGTACTGGTCAGATTCTTAATATGGAGGTGCTCATTTTCATAAGGACTCGTTGGTGCTTCATACACACTCATAAAACAGCCATGTGCGCAGTTGACAGTGCCCTCAACAAACTGGATTGTGGTTTGACAACAAACCCCGCAATGTTGGAGCATCGCCAACGGGTTGATTCGAACCAAGTCGATTCGTCCGATTACCAACTGGCCCAATACCAGCTTCTGAACTCAACCTGCCAGGTACCATTGCCGACCACATCGCGCAACTAGATCTGATAAACAAACTGTATCTAATCGTGCATACTCACATTCATCCATTTTGTTTTTGTCGACGTCGTACTCCCTTTACACCTACCTGTATCGTTCGAGCACTTCCCGGTAGGTCAATTCGGGCCTGTAAGTGGTAAGAGAGGTTAGAAATTGAATTCACAATATCAGATAAATTCGTGTACATTTTTTCATGGCAATTTTTCATTCAAAAAGTCCGTCCGTTTTATATTAATGTTTGGCTACAAGCTCGCCTGGATCACCTTGTAACTTGAATCATGAAAGGTACTAACGGAAGGAGCCACGACGCCTATCAAGTGGCCACTTAAGCCTCTTAACTGGCTTATTTCTTTTTGTTTCAACCCAAATTAATACTGATAAGGACATTGTGTAGCTCATCTTTGATGTTGATGATAGTTTGCGATTGTTTACACAAGTAACGTTACGAGTTAGCGGAGTATGATACAACCCGGCCACTTTGGAACTCCCTATCCTACATGATGTTAATTTTGTGATGATTGGGAGGACCAGTGATGTGTAGATGGATTGAAGCTCATAAAACAGACAGCGACGGCTTGCTGTAGTGCACCTCATTTTGCTTGTGAGAAGCGTAAAATTATCGCAGTAAGTCGGCGAGCTCAACTACAGGAAGGTCTTCAAAATTGGTGGTGTAAAACTTACTCTCCATTTAGTCTGCTGTGAAGTATTTTTTTCATTTCTTGCATTTTCGAGCACATTTAACTGGGATTTGTTGACATCGATAAAACGGGCCATCATGTTTGCCTTTGGTGAGCTATGTTTATTTTTGCCTTGGACGTTGGTACCGGGTGTTTCTTGCGAAGTTGGGATTGGCCAGACGTCGATTTGTGTTTGTCGTTTATATGGCGGGAATGACATTTTTCATGTAAAGTAAATACAAATAATTATTTTTCAATTATTCATTTCAGTGTTGATTTTAATTGTTTTCACCCCATAGTGTCCCTTATTATTAAATGCCTGTCATTTTATTCGTTTTCCAAACTCACCATTCTATTCCTATGCATGGTATGGGGCCTTGATAATGCAATACATTATCACAAATAATCTGTGACAATGACGTCATAAAATTCACTGGTTTTGACAATGCTATAATATAATAAATAATGCATTCAATCAAAAACCATTCATGCCTGTAATACGTTATCACGACATCACCACCTTAAAAATTGGCAAAAAACACAAGTATGAACAAATTTGTATTATTTTCAGTAATACTATGGATTTAATGCTGCAATAACCATTTTTGATGACATATAAGTAAAAGCAGCTTGGGACGAATCAAACTGGGTTTTGTCCATGTATCATACTGTGGTTTAATTTACTGTGATATGACTCAGGGCTGTCTATACTAAAACATCGACCACAGATAACATGATCTGTTACAATATGTTACATTAACACCTAACCGACCCATTGGTCGAGTTCTACCACTGACCGAGTTCAGTCATCACCTCCTTCGGCAGCTGTGATTCCTGTTAACAATTAAACATATCTCAAAAAAAAAAACATGAAAATTTCTATTTTGTTTTCAAAATGTTTTTCTTAATTTTCTGTTCACTGTTCCTAACAATTCAAAATCAAATGTTCACATTGAATATAATATTTGGTGTACTGTTTAGTTAATGATGGGTCAATGTAAAATGATTTCAGGACATTGCTTGAAAAAAGCAGGATGTCATACATATATTGCTTGGACAGAGATTACTGTACGATAAACACAACATATAGAATATTCTACACTGGAAACTTGATTCTAGTCTACGCAAAAAGTTAGCATGCAATTTATCTATTCATTGACCAAAGCCAATGAGACGAAAATGAATTTGGATGAATCAACTTGTGAGATGTATGTGATGGGAGGAATGTGAATTGGGACGAATGGACTGTGAATCCTGGCACTGAAGCTAGCTTACACTTCAAAGAAACAAATACAAATATTAAAATTGCAATATAATTATGACAGTTCACAAAATCAAAATAGAAATGCCGCTTAGTAAATTTAGATTTACTTGAAGCTATGAATATACATCAAATTTGAGAATGCGTTCAAACAATGCAATGCAGGTCTTACTACCAGTCATTCAAGTTAGTTTGGGTTGAAATTCTCAGTGTCTTGCAGAATTTCTGGAAATCAGACAAAGCTACATTTTGTAATGGTACATCTAAAACCATTCTAATTCATGTGTTTAGCCATGAGTAATGTGAATTATTGAAAGCTAATGATAGATACAAGTATACATTCCTGTGCACTTTATACATTATTCATACTACTATTTTTCTTGTATCTCTGACAGTTATGTTGGAATATCTGTAATAAAGCGAAGATCATGTCAAGTACATGCCATATTATCCAGATCATATACCAATAGTAATATTCTAACTTTACAAGATCGAGGAATCTTCCATGAAATATTTCCAGCAGAATGGTTGGTACAATTTATGACCATGCCTAGTTATGTCAAATGATTTTTTAATTTGCACCACTTGATTAATCAGACATGTTGAATTACTTGATGTGTTTATTTTTTTTCAGTGAGAAATTACCACAACTATTAACCTCTAGTCCACAGACTATCTACTGTGGAGTAGACCCTACTGCTGATAGTTTACATATCGGCAATTTATTGGCATTGATCTCATTAATACACTGTCAAAGAGCAGGACATAATGCTATAGCATTGGTAAGTATTATGGGATGCACGAATAATCATTTATCTTCATTGTCATTGTCCATAATATTTTTTTATTCTGTCTTCTTGGCTCAAAATCCAAAAGCCACACAGTACTCTTCTCAGATGTTACTTGTATCGATAGATTAATAAAGTTATCATTATATTATTAAGATCCTTCTTTCTGTCTGTATGTCTTGTCTAACCAAAAATTTAACATTCAAAAAAGTGAAAATTGATTACCTAAAAATGTGTTGAAAAGAGGTACCTTTCCACCACCAGAACTTCTTGCCCAAATTTTTCTGCACTTTTTCTTGTATTCCTCAATATTTCTAGAAATGAACCTTAATTTAAGAGCCAACAGACAAAATTTAAGTAAATTTTATTTTTTAGTCAAAAAAAAGGACTTCTGATACAAGGCAAAAGTTGACTGTCATGCTATGATGAAGGACTTTATTTAGAATTAGTGAGATTCAATAAAACTGTCAAAAAATGAAGCCATACTTGGTTCATAATGTATTCCAAGAAGATGATAGTCAGTTAATTGCTCGATGAGGTTGCTTTACAGTGGACAAGTTTCTGGCTCCCATTACTAGAAACTACTAGAAATTAAAAAAGCTAGCAGAGTATAGCAGAGTTTTGTAGTGAGCAATGATAAACCATATATTTTTCACTCTTGTTTATTATTTGTGTGTTCTTCACTAGATCGGTAATGCCACAGCACTGGTAGGTGATCCCAGCGGTAAAACAAAGGAAAGAGAACCCCTATCTAAAGAAATAGTAAATAGCAATTCACAGTCAATACAAGAAAGCCTGAATAGAGTATTTAGTAATCATGAAAGGTGTATATGGAAAAAAGACAAGAAATTACCACCAATTCAGTAAGTATTAAATATACCTTATACCCAATGTAGTTGGTTTAACAACCCACCATCCACATATATCTTATTTCCAGTGTAGTTGGTTTAACCCTCCATCCACATATATCCTATTTCCAGTGTAGTTGGTTTAACCCTCCTCCCACATATATCCTATTTCCAGTGGATAGTATTAAACCTTGTCTTTTCCCAGAATACTGCATTAATGCGTTACATTGTTTCTTTTCAGAATACTGCATAACATGAGTTGGTATGAAAATAAGAAATTGATTGACTTTTTATCCTCAGCTGGTAGACACTTCAGGTTAGGTACCATGTTATCAAAACATAGGTTAGTAACACAGAAATGTTTTTTTGTTTGGAAAACAGTACTTCTATACTCCATGTGATTTGTTATACTGTCTCTCACAAAACTATATCAATACCACAACTGATAGAAATATCTGTCAGTATTGTTCTCTGTATTTTTCTCTTACGTAATTTTTGCTGGGTGAAATACTTATCTGATATTTATTCTGTTTTCAGTGTCAAAACAAGATTAAACAGCTCAGAGGGAATGAATCTTACTGAATTTTTATACCAAGTTTTCCAGTCGTATGATTTTTATCATTTACATAAAAAGTATGGGTGTAATATTCAGGTAAGTCAATGCTGCATTCATGACTTCAACACATTGACAGTTACAAAACATTTACGGACTACCACCAGCCACTACAAAACATTGATGGCTGCACTGCCACCAACCACTACAAAATATTGATGGCTGCACTGCCACCAGCCACTACAAAACATTGATGGCTGCACTGCCACCAGCCACTACAAAACATTGATGGCTGCACTGCCACCAGCCACTGCAAAACATTGATGGCTGCACTGCCACCAGCCACTGCAAAACATTGATGGCTACACTGCCACCAGCCAATACAAAACATTGATGGCTGCACTGCCATCAGCCACTTCAAAACATTGATGGCTGCACTGCCACCAACCACTACAAAACATTGATGGCTACACTGCCACCAGCCACAACAAAACATTGATGGCTGCACTGCCACCAGCCACTACAAAACATTGATGGCTGCACTGCCACCAGCCACTGCAAAACATTGATGGTTACACTACCACCAGCCAATACAAAACATTGATGGCTGCACTGCCACCAGCCACTGCAAAACATTGATGGCTGCACTGCCACCAGCCAACTGCAAAACATTGATGGTGCACTGCACCAGCCACTGCAAAACATTGATGGTTGCACTGCCACCAGCCAATACAAAACATTGATGGCTGCACTGCCACCAGCCACTGCAAAACATTGATGGCTACACTGCCACCAGCCAATACAAAACATTGATGGCTGCACTGCCACCAGCCACTGCAAAACATTGATGGCTACACTGCCACCAGCCAATACAAAACATTGATGGCTACACTGCCACCACCCACTACAAAACATTGATGGTTGCACTGCACCAGCCACTGCAAAACATTCATGGCTACACTGCCACCACCCACTACAAAACATTTATGGCTACACTGCCACCAGCCACTGCAAAACATTGATGGCTGCACTGCCACCAGCCACTA